CGGGCCGCGGGTCAGCCCGTCAGCCGGGGAGACGACGGGACGACGGAGACATGATGGACGCGATCAATGGAACTTTGAGTGATTTGAATGTATGGAGATGACCGTATTTATTGTGATGTAGCGTTGTGAGTCTCTGCTTATTTATTACTCTTTGCGAGCAGAGGCCTGTTTCACTAAAAACTTGTATTTACAAGTGTTTGTAGTTTACAATTCATAAGTATTTTTACCAACTACGTAAAAACCGATTTCACTAAGCTTCATCGCCAGTGGCACCTCCGATAAGAAAATGTTTGCAAATAAACTTGTAAACAGTAAAATTGTTTTTAATCAAGAACTATAGCATGTTGAAGATATTGCTTCTTTGTATCAAATATAGTCTAGTATTCATGTCAAAAGCTGCCTAATTAAATTATAAATAATGATGCTGTTGGAAAAAGATATAACTGATAGTTCACATTGTCCTATTATTGAAAGAAAATAACACGCAAAACATTTGACAGCAGAAGACTGTTGAATGCAATGATGGCGCGCGAATGACAAAACATGACGATATTTTAATACCGATTATTTTGCTCTTAGGGTGTGTGCAAAGTGAAAATTGAGCATGAAAGAACTTAACAAAGCATAGTTGTTCTAAATATATGACTGTTTTGCATTATTGCACAAAAAGTATCAAAATTCCGAACGTCAGGACCACTGGAATTTCGGGTTTGTAATTACGATGTTTTCTTTCAAGTTTCTGGTCTTCGTGAAACAGAAAGTTTGCAATTCCTATGTTTTCTAGCAAACTTTTTCTTGTAAAAAAGTTTGCAAATTTTAAACTCAAAATTCAAGTTCAAAGGTTTCGTGAAATCCAAATCTCAAATGTTGGTAATTATTTCTTGTAAACTCAAGCTTTTTCTTTGTAAATACAAGTTTTATTTGTTAGTGAAACAGGCCTCTGATAGGTAATCGAGGATTGATGTGAAACAAGTGAGAAAAATAAATTCGTTTTTTTTTTTGCAAATACAGCATCTTTCTTGAATATTGCTTCTAGTATGGACGAAGAATGTCTCCTAGGACGACAAACTGAGAATGGAAATAATGTTATCATTCGCATTTCAATCATTCTCTTCTTGAGTCGATGCTTCACACAGAAAGTCATCGAACGAGCAGACTGGGAATGCTGGGGATAAAGCAACTGCCAGACTAAAATCTGAGGAGTTTGGCATCTAGACTTTCGTTTTGAACGTCATGTATTGTGCCAGTCCATGTATTTTGTCCTTGGGTATGGCAATAGGGTGGGCGTTGCGGGTGTTTTTGCGGTGTTTGCGTTTGGCGGCGGGCGGCCGTTTTTTGCGGCGGTTTGCGGTGGGTGGCCGTTTTTGCGGCGTTTTGCGGTTTGCGGGGGGCGGTCGTTTTTTTTTTTGCGGGGTTTTGCGGTTGCCGGCGGCCGGCCGTTATTTGCGGTGTTGCGTTTGGCGGCGGGCGGCCGTTTTTGCGGCGTTTTGCGGTTGGCGGCGGGGGATGCGTTTTTTTGCGGCGGCGGTGTTTGCGTTTTTTGCGGTGTTTGCGTTTTGCGGCGGACGGGCGTTTTTTGCGGCGTTTTTTCTTTTTTTCTGCGGTTTTCGGCGGGCGGGCGGTTGTTCTATTTCTGCGAAGTTTGCGTTGGCGTTTTGCGCATTTTCCGGCGTTTGCGTTTTGCGGCGGGCGGGCGGTTTTCACAATTAAAGTCCCAACCTTCGGATCCGCAGTGCCTGTTCGACAAGCGCTGCCCGGGCCTATGGCAATACAAATGCCTTTGGAGCCAGCCACTGGCCGTGTGACGTGATTGGGCGAATCCTGAAATATATACTATTGCCGAAGCCTTAGAAATCGGGCATCTGCGAATTTCATCGAAAATGTCGCAAAGTCTGGGCAAAAAAAAGTGTGGCAGCCAATATCATCAACCAAGTGGTCGTAATGGCCGTATTTGGGCTCATAACAGTCGGTGTGCCCACAAGCCCTTTAAACCAAGTTACAGTGGAGCTGATTATTAGTAAAGTAATCTTGGAGCTGATGGTGTGTAGAATCGTACTAAGTAGAAGTAGAAGTCGTACTAAGCACTCATTGAGCTGCACCAGATCCAGCCCAAGACGAAGGTAGGCGCTGGACACGAAGGCGAAGGCGTAGAACATTACAGAAACCTGCGTGCTAACCTTCAAAAGAACGTCTAACGGCGCATGTGTTATCCAGCGACGCATGAGGTTGGAAGGCTAAAAGCCACCTCCATGTAAAATGGAGGCGCGAGTCACGGAGCTCCAGGCAAACAAAGCAACATACCATCAGTTGTTGTTTTTTTACGAGACGATAGAAGTAAGTTCTGGGCGAAAGAGGAATAATCGAACAACATTTCGACCTAAATTCCACGGATGAACTGTGGGCGATCCCCTAGCTGACTAAATGATACATGTATACATCGACAAATAGTGTGACAACCGATGACACGATGAACGATGAAACGAACCATGAAACGAACAACAAACGATGGAAGGATACACAAAGGAAAGTTTCCTGTAGCACTGTTTCTTCCGGAAGGCATTCTGAAACTACCGTCAATACGAAGGCGCGACCCTCTTGAAAAGACGTGTGAATTCGTATGTAAGTATACCTAATAGGTGGTTAGATCAGACGTCTGACCTCTCCAGAAGATTGGTAATGCGTTCATCTTATAGTCCATACTCCATACCTAAAGCTAACAGTCATTAGTGCAACAACAATGTTCACAAAATATAGAATGAAAAATGAAAATGAATAGCAAAAACAGCATGATATCCTAACGAAACAGGAAAATTATCAAGTGCAAAGCTTTAAAAAAAAAAAATGTCAGCGCGGAGAAGACAATTATATAGAAAGAAACACATGAGGGCGAAACAAAACCAAAAGGTAAGCAAACAGCTTCAGTAATAAAGATTTATAACTAACAAAGTGTTAATCATCCCGTTAACATTTTCTGTTAACGGGATAAAAGTTTGGACATGAGTCTTGAAATGCTCTAAAAACGTAAACATCTTTTAAAGACATTTTAAGTAAGAAAGTAAGCATTCAAGGGTCGGTGATGCATACAAAAATATTGGCCTATGAGCCATTTGTAGAAAAATGCATATTCATGACTAGGGGAGAGTGGTGCAGGAGGCCCCCCCCTTAAGCTCAGTTGCTATTTTTAGACAACTGATAATATTTAAGAGCTAACGTGTGCATGCGCTGTGAGCATGCATCATTTTCCCATACATATTTGCATTCAAAATGAATCTAGGGGGTACACAAACCGTAAACTTTAACATTTTGGAAAAAGTTGCAAAAGGGCCTCTTACACTATGGGTATGGTAAGACGCCCCCCCCCCCCTGGGGCGTTTAACAAGGCAAGTCGACTTGTAAAAGACGTTTTGCGAACACAGCTGCAAGGCCTTTTATTTCGAAAAGCTAAGCAAATACGGTGTTACCGAAACCAATAACACTTCCAAAGCGCTCGAACAATGCGAAAACTAGCACAACCAAACGCTGATGACCAACGAAAATTGTACCTATTACCTCTAGAAAAAGAAACAGAAAAAAAGAAACAAAAACAAACTCCTTGAAAAAAGAATGCCACGCCTGCCGCAGGTGCAGGCGTTTTAGCATCGGGGGCGTTTTTTATCGGGGGGGCGTTTTATAATCCTCGAAGGGAGGGCCTCTTAAAAAAATGCAGTGTTTTAACGTCACAATATTTATGGTTTATGAGACATTTGCAGCGCACCAGAACATGGTCTATTCTGAAGCTAACATGTGACAATTTCGATGAGATAAGATTGCATTTGATAGTCATTGTTTTTTTCAGATATATAAGGGTGATAAAGATGCATATATCTAGCAAGTAAAGGGGCAAAAACAGAAACAGGCTTACCAAAAGTCGCTGCGACGCACCTGATACCTCAGGTTTCGTGAGTTGTTGTTTCAAGAGGGCTTCTGCTTTACAAGAACATTAAAAAATAAATAACATTATTGGTTTGGTAAAAAAAGCGATGGGGCCTCTTACCGACCCTGGGCGTCTTACACGGATCTCCCCTATCAGCCGTGCACTACCCGTTCTATAACACGCGCAGTGGAAGGGTTGCGAGTACTACGCCCAGTGGAAGGGGGGGCGGATGTCGTCCCCCCCCTAAGATCTCAGCTCCCAGTGGAGCTAGAAAGACGAAATTTGGAGGGTAGGTGGGGGCCATGAAGAACTCTGTTTTGTGTGAATTTCATGACCCTAGGTCAATATCTTCAAGGTCAAATGAGGTCAAATGTGGTCAAATCTGCCATATTAGCGACTTTTTTGCGTTTACACGCCAATAACTCAAAAAGTTACCAGCCGATTTCTTTAAATCTTTCACTATACGAAAGAACAAACATTTGTGAGTATGTATGGTGAATTTCTAGATAATCCAACAATTAATATGGCAGTTAGAAGCCTGCTAAGGGTAAGATGTCGCCGGGTGAAGCGGCATCGGCCGACGCGGGAAACGTGGCAATCACAATTTTGTGTTTACACACTCATAACTCAAGTTGTTACCGGCCGATTTTCAAAATTCTTTAACCATATGATTGCTTGTACATTTCTCAGTCTTCTCACCGAATTTGACGCGAATCTAATATAATCAGCGGTAAGGAGCGCGATGTAAAGACGGAACCGTCCCGCCCCGGTACAGTCTACAATTCAGGCGGTGCGTAACGGCTAGCGCCGGCCGCCGCGCCGCCGCGGCGGCAGGATGTTTGACTTTACACCGCTATTACTAGAAAAGTTGTGAACCGATTTTCTTACTTCTTGCACGAGAAGATCCGCAATTTAATTTTGGACAGGTAGCCGAAATTTCACATTGATATTATGCTTGCGGCGCGAGTTATTGGCGAAAAACAGGAGGGGTGGGCGAAATCCGCCCCCCCCCCCCTTCCACTGCGCGTGATAATGCTTGGTGTCGTATGTAATATCAGATCATCCAGTAGCACTCACATAAGTCACAGGCAGATCTCCCACCCATACCCCTCCCCGTCCCATGTCGACCACCGGATGTCTCCATAACCTGTCCCTTTCACGGTCACCCGGTGGGCCGTCCTCACCTTGGTCCTCACTATATATATCGACGGGAGCGCCGGGGACGGTATCACACTACAGACGCATCTCCCAAAGGGACAACCACCAGACTCACCTCGTACAATCATGAAGATGGTAAGACATGTGGGGTCGAAGTGGGACTAGGTAGAAAGCTTAGGTGAGCAGTGATCATGTTGAGATGCACATCAAGCTTATTGCGGTGGGTTAGCGTACTGAATCTGACTGAGGTGTCATGAATTATGCTAGCTTCGCAGTCTAACATCATCCCATTCCATTTCACAGTTTGTGGCCCTGTTTGCCGTGGTGGCCGCCGCGGCCGCCGGCTCCCCCGGCTACGGACCCACCCCGGCCGTCCGCGCCGCCGCCGCCGCCGCCGCTCCGCTGCCTCTGGTGCGCATCCTCGAGTCGGAGAGCCACAGCGACGACCAGGGCGGCTACGGGTTCCGCTTCCTCTCCGAGGACGACATCGAGCGCCAGGAGCAGAGCGCCGACGGCACCGTCACCGGCTCCTACAGCTACCGAGCTCCCGACGGACGGCTCATCAGCGTGCGCTATGTGGCCAACGCGCTGGGCTTCCGCGCCGAGAGCGACGCGCTGCCGACGCCGGTGCCGACCGAGTACCCGACGCCGCAGGTGCCGTCCACGGAGGCGGCGCCGTCCGTGCGCACCGTGCAGCAGTACTCGGCGCCTGCTGAGCGGCCGGCCGTCCGGCAGCCGGCCGTCGAGTACGAGCCCGTCTACAGCTACCGCGCCGTCTCTCAGTGAGGGGTCACGGGTCGCGGGTCAGCCCGTCAGCCGGGGAGACGACGGGACGACGGAGGCACGCTGGACGCGATTAACGGATTTTTGACTGATATGGATGTATCGATGGTAATGACCGTATTTATTGTGATGTAGCGTTGTGAGTCCCTGGTTATTTATTGTTCTTTGTCATTTGTTAGATCGCTGTGGAATCGGCCGATGATGTGATTCCTATGTGAAACAATACATTCGCTTTTTCATTTACACCATCTTTCTTGAATATTGCTTGTATTGCATTGTATTGAACAATCATGAGCGATCCACATTCTCAAAGTGCGTGGCGATTACTGCTCCTAGTATGGACGAAGAATGTCTTCTTAGAAGACTAACTGATAGTGGAGATAATGTTACCATTCGCATTTCAATCATTCCCTTCTTGAGTCGGTGCTTCACAGAGTCATCGAACGAGCAAACTGGGAATGAATGCAGATGATACGGGGATGGGATGAATGCAGCGATGAATGCTGGGAATAAAGCAACTGGCAGGCCCAAATCTGAGGACTTTGGCATCCAGACTTTCCTTTTGAACGTTATTGTGCCAGCCACATATGTTTTCCTCGGGTATGGGGATACAAATACCTTTGGAGTCAGACACTGGCATGTGATGTGATTGAGCGAATCATGAAATAGGTATTACTGCCAAAGCCTGATAAATTGGGCTAGCTGCTAATTCACCTCACCCTTCGCAGACTAGGCAAAAAAAAAAAAACGTGGAAGCCAACCAACATCAACCGACCACCAAGTAAACGAAACGGCCGTATTTGGGTTCATAACGGTCAGTGTGCCCACGGGCCGGTCAATCCAATTTTCAGCGGAGCTGATGGTGTAAAGAATGTCGTACAAAACACTCAGTGACCTGCACGGGGTCCAGCCCACGACTAAGGTAGGCGCTGGACACGGAGTGTTACGTGTGGAACATTTTAGAAACTTGCGTCCTAACCTTCAAGCTTCAGCAGAACGTCCAATGAGCATCTATTACCGAGAGACGCATGTGGTTGGGAGGTTAACAGCCAACTCCTCCATGGAAGTGGAGGCGTGCGCCACGGAGCTCTAGCGTATAGTTCTGACAAGTGACACATACCAGCAGTTTCTAACGAGCCACTACGCATCAGTTCTGGGCGAGGAGTGACCGAGAAGATGATGATGAATTGGGGTATTTGGGCGCCCGCTTCAAGCCCACGGATAAACCGTAGGCGATCTTCCAGCAACACATCGACAAAAAAAAAAAAATGTAACGAGCAATGACAAGACGAACGATGAAACAAAAGACGAGCGATGAAACGATAACAAAAAAGAAATGGTTGCTGCGGCATTACTTCTTCCGAAAAGCATTCTGACGCTGTCGGCTGTCGCCAAAACGAAGTTGAGAACATAGAGCCCCGCTTTACTGTAAATTCGTAAGTGGCCTGGCCTGTCCCGAAGATCGACAATGTGTACAATTTTGTAGCCAATAAAGCTACCTGACATAAGTGCAAAAAAATGTTCACAAACAACTAAGACGAAAAATTAAGATAATTACAAAATACTGAAAGATGACAAAAAAGCATGAACCCCAAGCAGAACACGAAGCAAAAGTAAAGGTGGATGTTTGAGCCCTCGTAATTATATGGGAGGGGTTCGGATGGACACCACTCGCTTTTCACGAATAACTCGCGTAAATGCGCCGGATCGCAACGAATCTGTCAGCTCCCTCCATCTAATTAATTTGCACACCTACCCTGAAAAATGCATTACACTGACCCAATTGACCTTTGATCTGTGACCTGTTCATCGATACCATGCCGGCACGGAATGGCAACTCGGCGCTCGCCAGCGCACATTGTATGTTGATACGTTTCCAGACTTTTTGTGTCTGGAAACGTCACAGCATGTGAAATATTTGTCCCATTGATTATGGCGGGTGTCGTGGTCACTCGAAGGTCAGGTCAAGATAATTAACCTCAGACGATCTCCGCCGACTTAATTCTAGAATTTTTTCAGTGCTATGAAGATGTCTCCGTCTAAAAAAAAAGAATATTTTTAAGCAAGCAAGTCCGACATTCAAGGGCCGTTGATATATCTCAAATTATTGGCTTATGACGCATTCGTAGAAAAGTACATATCCATGCCGAAGGACCATGCACTATTCGTGTCGGAATAATAAGTGCCGCAAGTATAACATCATCATCCAGTAGCACCCTAATAACTCACAAATAGACCTCCCACCTATACCACCACCACCCCCGTCCCATGACAACCATCGGATGTCTCCATAACCTGTCCCTTTCACGGTCATCCGGTGGGCCGTCCTCACTATATATAACGAGGGGAACGCCGGGGACGGTATCACACTACAGACACATCTCCCAACGGGATAACTACCAGACACACTCCGTACAATCATGAAGATGGTAAGTCATGTGGGGTCGAAGCGGGACTAGGTAGAAAGCTTAGGTGAGCAGTGATAATGTTGAGATACCCATCAAGCTTATTGCGGTGGGTTATGACACTGAAACTGACTGAGGATTCAGAAATTATATCTTCGCAGTCTAAACCATACCCAGTTTCATTTCACAGTTTGTGGTTCTGTTTGCCGTGGTGGCCGCCGCGGCCGCCGGCTCCCCCGGCTACGGACCCACCCCGGCCGTCCGCGCCGCCGCCGCCGCCGCCGCTCCGCTGCCTCTGGTGCGCATCCTCGAGTCGGAGAGCCACAGCGACGACCAGGGCGGCTACGGGTTCCGCTTCCTCTCCGAGGACGACATCGAGCGCCAGGAGCAGAGCGCCGACGGCACCGTCACCGGCTCCTACAGCTACCGAGCTCCCGACGGACGGCTCATCAGCGTGCGCTACGTGGCCAACGCGCTGGGCTTCCGCGCCGAGAGCGACGCGCTGCCGACGCCGGTGCCGACCGAGTACCCGACGCCGCAGGTGCCGTCCACGGAGGCGACGCCGTCCGTGCGCACCGTGCAGCAGTACTCGGCGCCTGCTGAGCGGCCGGCCGTCCGGCAGCCGGCCGTCGAGTACGAGCCCGTCTACAGCTACCGCGCCGTCTCTCAGTGAGGGGTCACTGGTCGCGGGTCAGCCCGTCAGCCGGGAAGACGACAGGACGACGGAGACATGATGGACGCGATCAATGGAACTTTGACCGATATGGATGTATCGATGGTAATGATCGTATTTATTGTGATGTAGCGTAGTGAGTCCCTGGTTATTTATTACTCATTTGTCATTACATAGATAGGTCATCGAGGATTGATGTGAAACATGTGAGAAAAATACATTCGTTTTTTTTGCAATTACTTCATTTTTCTTGAATATTGCTTCTAGCGTGGACAAGGAAGGACATCAATGACGACAAGCTAGGAGAAGAAAAACGTTAACACTCGCATTTAAATCATTCTCTTCTTGAGTAGAAGCTTCACCCAAAATAATAATCGAATGAACGAGCTTGGGATGAATGCAGGCAATGCAGGGATGACAGTAGGGGTAAATGCTAAGGATGAAGCAACTTGCAGACTGAAACCTGAGGACTTTGGCATCAAGACTTTCCTTTTGAACGTTATTGTGCCAGTCCATGTATTTTGTCTTTGGGTACGGCAATGCAGATGGATTCGGAGCGCAGCCACTGGCCGTGTGATTTGATTGGGCGAATCCTGAAATATCACTGCCGAAGCCTTGGAAGTCGGGCTATATGCGGATTTCACCGAAAGCGTCGCAAAGTCTTGGCACACAAAAAAAAATGTGGAAGCCAACTAACATCCACCAAGTAGTCGTACTGGCCGTATTTGGGCTCATAACAGTGTGTGTGTACGGCAGTCAATCCAATTTACAGCGGAGATGATGCTGTGAAGAATGATGTTGCACCAAGCACTCAGTGAGCTGCACAAGATCCGCCATAGACGAAGGCAGACACTGGACACGAAGCGTTACGTGTAGAACATCCTAACTAGGTCCTAGCCTTCAACGGAACGACCAGCAACGCATCTATTACCGAGCGACGCATGTGGTTAGGAGGTTAAAAGCCACCTCCTCCATAGAAGTGGAGGCGTGCGCCACGGAGCTCCAGCACATAAGTTCTGCCCCAGTAGTTTTTAACGAGCCACTACTCATCAGTTTTGAGCGAGGAGTGACCGAGAAACAACGCAAACTTCAATTCCACGGATGAGCCGTGGGCGATCTCCCAACAACACCTCGACAAAAATAAGCGTAACGAACAATGACAAGAAGAACGATAAAACGAAAGACGAGCGATGGATCGATAACAAACAAAAATGGGTTGCTGCAGCATTACTTCCTCTGAAAGGCATTTTGACGCTCTCGCCAATACGAAGTCGAGAACATATTTGCCCCGCTCGGGGGCTTGCGTGTGAATTCGTAAGTGGCCTTGCTTGTCAGGAAGATCGGCAATGTGTCTCTTTTGTAGCCAATAAAGCTGTCTGTCATTTGTGCGAAAAAAGGTTCACAGACATCTAGGACGAAAAATTAAGATGAATTCAAAATAAGGAAAGATAGCGAAAAAGCATGAAACCCAAGTACAACACGAGGGAAATTGGAAAAGAAAAAAGTGGACGTCTTAGCCGTCCCAGTTATAAGGGGAAGCGGGTCGGATGGACACCACTCGGTTTCCACGAACAACTCGCGTAAATGTGCCGGATCGCAACGAATCTGTCAGCTCCCTCCATCTAATAAATTTGCACACCTACCCTGAAAAATGCATGACACTGACCCAATCGACCTTTGATCTGTGACCTGTTCATCGATACCATGCCGGCACGGAATGGCAACTCGGCGCTCGCCAGCGCACATTGTATGTTGATACGTTTCCAGACTTTTTGTGTCTGGAAACGTCACAGCATGTGAAATATTTGTCCCATTGATTATGGCGGGTGTCGTGGTCACTCGAAGGTCAGGTCAAGATAATTAACCTCAGACGATCCCCGCCGACTTAACCCTCGCCGGCCGAGGGGGGGGGCGGGTGCCGCCCCCCCCCCATAGGGTTTTTACGCGATAGTTCCGAGCACGCTGGCGATAGAGAGCTGAAACTTGGCATACCTGACCTTTGATTCAAGCCGGATCTTTTGACACCAACCGAATTTTTGGGTCAGGTCAGGTCACTGACCTATGACGTCATAAATGAACCTCTGCACGGTCTTCAGATGTCGCAACTTCGCAACGCCCTCACTGCCAGAGGAGATGTCACAGGGAAATGAAACTTGCAGGATCTAGTATCCATTATGAGTCTCACAACTTGTATATCTCGGATTATTCCTAAAGGTCATATGAGGTCAGGTCATTTTCGTGACCTCACCATTATAAGTCAATGGGGAAAAATTCAAACTGCTATTCTGGCGCCGGGAACGATCTCCAACTATCTCAAGCACACAGAATCGTGATTTGATGCACTCCTTGCAAGGTTAGATGCGTTACTTTTGCAATGTTGACCTAGCGTGACGTCATTTATGACGTCATCAAGGTCATATTAGTTTTTCGTCAATAACTCTTGATCAAATTGAGCTAGCGAGTCGGGGAAGCCACCAATGGACTCAGGACGACCTGCCGAATCGAATGATATGCGACAAGACCTCTTTCGACCAACTTCGTGACCTGGGGGTGCTGACATGACCTTGACCTGAGGTCAACACCCCAAGTTGACCTGACCCGAACAAAAAGTATATCATTCGACGCGACTGAGCGAGGCGAACACGATGCTACCAAAATCGCGGATCTGCGGCCGTTTTTTGCGAAGTTCTTCACCAAAAACTGAACCGTACCTTGGGGCACTTGACCTGACCTCAGAGGTCACCGGTTGACCTAGGACCTTAAAATCGGGTACCAATCTCTGCGTCTCGTAACGGCGCACACGCTCGATTTTTCCGCGACGCGCTAGCTCCACCAGGGGCGAAACGGCGAGGGGGGGTCGTACCCGCCCCCCCCCCCCCTCAGCCGGCGCGTATGTAGAAAACCAATAGGTCCGGCGAGGGTTAATTCTATAATTTCTAAGTGCTATGAAGATGTCTCCGTCTAACAAAAATATTTCTAAGCAAGCAAGTCCGACATTCCAGGGCCGTTGATATATCTCGAATTATTGGCTTATGACACATTCGTAAAAAGTACATATCCATGCCGAAGGGCCATGCACTATTCGTGTCGGAATAACAAGTGCCGCAAGTATAACATCATCATCCAGTAGCACTCTAATAAATCACCAGCAGACCTTCCACCCATACCACCACCACCCCCCAGTCCCATGTCGACCCCCGGATGTCTCCATAACCTGTCCCTTTCACGGTCATCCGGTGGGTCGTCCACACTATATATAACGACGGGAACGCCGGGGAGGCATCACACTACAGACGCATCTCCCAACGGCACAACCACCAGACTCACATCGCACAATCATGAAGATGGTAAGCCATGTGGGGTCGAATTGAACTTAGTAGAAAAGCTTAGCTGAGAATATTAATGTTGAAATGCCACCCAGCTAAATGTAGTTGATTATGACACTGAAACCGACCGAGCCAGAAATACATATGTCTTCGCAATCTAACGTCGCCCCCTTCCATTTCACAGTTTGTGGCCCTGTTTGCCGTGGTGGCCGCCGCGGCCGCCGGCTCCCCCGGCTACGGACCCACCCCGGCCGTCCGCGCCGCCGCCGACGCCGCCGCTCCGCTGCCTCTGGTGCGCATCCTCGAGTCGGAGAGCCACAGCGACGACCAGGGCGGCTACGGGTTCCGCTTCCTCTCCGAGGACGACATCGAGCGCCAGGAGCAGAGCGCCGACGGCACCGTCACCGGCTCCTACAGCTACCGAGCTCCCGACGGACGGCTCATCAGCGTGCGCTACGTGGCCAACGCGCTGGGCTTCCGCGCCGAGAGCGACGCGCTGCCGACGCCGGTGCCGACCGAGTACCCGACGCCGCAGGTGCCGTCCACGGAGGCGGCGCCGTCCGTGCGCACCGTGCAGCAGTACTCGGCGCCTGCTGAGCGGCCGGCCGTCCGGCAGCCGGCCGTCGAGTACGAGCCCGTCTACAGCTACCGCGCCGTCTCTCAGTGAGGGGTCACAGGCCGGGTCAGCCCGTCAGCCGGGGAGACGACGGGACGACGGAGACATGATGGACGCGATCAATGGAACTTTGAATGATTTGGATGCATGCATGGAGATGACCGTATTTATTGTGATGTAGCGTTGTGAGTCCCTAGTTATTTATTGTTCTTTGTCATTTGATAGATCGCTGTGGAATCGGCCGATGATGTGATTCTTATGTGAAACAATACATTCGCTTTTTCATTTACCCCCATCTTTCTTGAATATTGCTTCTAGTATGGACGAGGAATGTCTCCTAAAACGACAAACTGAGAATGGAAAATGTTACCATTCGCATATCAATCATTCCCTTCTTGAGCCGATGCTTCACACAGAAAGTCATCGAACGAGCAAACTGGGAATGAATGCAGATGATACGGGGATGGAATGAATGCAGCGATGAATGCTGGGGATAAAGCAACTGCCAGACTCAAATCTGAGTAGTTTGGCAACTAGACTTTCGTTTTGAACGTTATTGTGCCAGTCCATGTATATTGTTCTTGGGTATGGGAATACAAATGCCTTCAGAGCCAGCCACTGGCCGTGTGACGTGATTGGGCGAATCCTGAAATATATACTATTGCCGAAGCCTTAGAAATCGGGCATCTGCGAATTTCATCGAAAATGTCGCAAAGTCTGGGCACAAAAAAGTGTGGCAGCAGCCAATATCATCACCCAAGTAGTCGTAACTCGTAATGGCCGTATTTGGGCTCATAACAGTCGGTGTGCCCACAAGCCCTTTAAACCAAGTTACAGTGGAGCTGATTATTAGTAAAGTAATCTTGGAGCTGATGGTGTGTAGAATCGTACTAAGTAGAAGTAGAAGTCGTACTAAGCACTCAGTGAGCTGCACCAGATCCAGCCCAAGACGAAGGTAGGCGCTGGACACAAAGGCGAAGGCGTAGGCGTATAACATTTTAGAAATCTGCTTAATAACCTTCAAAAGGACGTCTAACGCGCATCTGTTCCCCAGCGACGCATGATGTTGGAAGGTAAAAGCCACCTCCATGGAAAATGGAGGCGCGAGTCACGGAGCTCCAGGCAAACAAAGCAACATACCATCAGTTGTTGTTTTTTACGAGACGATAGAATCAGAATCAGAATCAGAATATATTTCATAACGAATCCATCGAATATGGTTTTTCATCGTCACACGTCAAAGGTTGAAAACATACGAGGTAAAATACATTCAGGCCAATACAATACACCGCGATACTTGATCAGGTCAGCCATACAGTTCTCTGAGTAGGTAGCGTCTCAGGGTGGATTTGAAGTGGCGATTGTTTGTGTCGAATGGCAGCTGGTTGTACTGCTGGACAGCACCGTAGCTGAGACGCCTGCGACCCGACTCAGAGTGTATCCTCGGTAGCGTGCGCTGAGAGGAGCCTCTCATCTGATGCACGTGGTCTCTACTGGGGCCGATGCACATAGCGATGCATTCGGGACTACCGGTCGTGATGGCAGCATGGGTGAGACCAAGATTACTTGGTGAGACACAGTCGGTGATACGTGAAGTAAGTTACGGACGAAAGAGGAATAATCGAACAACATTTCGACCTAAATTCCACGGATGAACTGTGGGCGATCCCCCAGCTGACTAACTGATACATGTATGCATCGACAAATAGTGTGACGAACGATGACACGATGAACGATGAAACGAACCATGAAACGAACAACAAACGATGAAACGATACAAAAAAGAAAGGTTCCTGCAGCACTGTTTCTTCCGGAAGGCATTCTGAAACTACCGTCAATACGAAGGCGTGACCCTCTTGAACAAACTTGTGAATTCGTAAAGCATAATAGGTGGTTAGATCCGACGTCTGACTTCTCCAGATGATTGGTAATGTGTTCATCCTAAAGTCCATACCCAAAGCTAACAGTCATTAGTGCAACAAAAATGTTCACAAAATATAGGATGAAAAATGAAAATGAATAGCAAATACAGCGTGATAGCCTACGAAACAGGAGAATTATAAAGTGCGAAGTTTTATAACAAAAAAAAATCATGTCAGCGCGGAGAAGACAATTATATAGAAAGAAAAACATGAGGGGGAAACAAAACCAGAAGGTAAGCAAACAGCTTCAGTAATAAAAATTTGTAACTAACAAAGTCTTCAACATTTTCTGTTAACGGGATAAATGTTTGGACATGAGTCTTGAAATGCTCTAAAAAATGTAAACATCTTTTTAAGACATTTTAAACAAGAAAATAAGCATTCAAGGGTCGGTGCTGCATGCAAAAATATTGGTCTATGAGCCATTTGTAGAAAAATGCATATTCATGCTTATCAGCCGTGCACTGCCCGTTTTATAATGCTTAGTGCCGCATGTATAATACCATCGTCCAGTAGCACCCCAATAAATCACAGGCAGACCTCCAACCCATACACCCCCCGTCCCATGTCGACCACCGGATGTCTCCATAACCTGTCCCTTTCACGGTCACCCGGTGGGCCGTCCTCACTATATATAACGACGGGAACGCCGGGGAGGTATCACACTACAGACGCATCTCCCGACGGGACAACCACCAGACTCACTCCGTACAATCATGAAGATGGTAAGACATGTGGGGTCGAAGTGGGACTTGGTAGAAAGTTTAGGTGAGCAGTGATCATGTTGAGATACCCATCAAGCTTATTGCGGTGGGTTAGGGCACTGAATCTGACTGAGGAGTCAGAAATTATGTCTTCGCAGTCTAACCATACCCCCTTCCATTTCACAGTTTGTGGCCCTGTTTGCCGTGGTGGCCGCCGCGGCCGCCGGCTCCCCCGGCTACGGACCCACCCCGGCCGTCCGCGCCGCCGCCGCCGCCGCCGCTCCGCTGCCTCTGGTGCGCATCCTCGAGTCGGAGAGCCACAGCGACGACCAGGGCGGCTACGGGTTCCGCTTCCTCTCCGAAGACGACATCGAGCGCCAGGAGCAGAGCGCCGACGGCACCGTCACCGGCTCCTACAGCTACCGAGCTCCCGACGGACGGCTCATCAGCGTGCGCTACGTGGCCAACGCGCTGGGCTTCCGCGCCGAGAGCGACGCGCTGCCGACGCCGGTGCCGACCGAGTACCCGACGCCGCAGGTGCCGTCCACGGAGGCGGCGCCGTCCGTGCGCACCGTGCAGCAGTACTCGGCGCCTGCTGAGCGGCCGGCCGTCCGGCAGCCGGCCGTCGAGTACGAGCCCGTCTACAGCTACCGCGCCGTCACTCAGTAAAAGCGCGCACGCTCAATGAACGGTTTGAAAAGGAATGCTTTGAACTCCCTATATCCTGCTTGAATGGTCTCTGACCTGACGGCATATTATTGTCTATTTATTGTTCCGTGTATTTCTGCATATTTTGTGGTGAATGTTTGGTGTTTATTAGCATGCAATAAAAATGCAATAAAAATGATTGCTCTTAGAATGTGTTCTGCTTTGTAGTTTACTTCACAAGTCTACACTGAACAAGGGTGGGGTATGGTGACGTGCGGGCCGAGCCTTACTTGTTTTCGGAGTCAGGTAGACACTGATGGCCGTGATCGGGTCATTGCTGGCGTCGTGGTAGAGCTCCGTCACCAGCAGGTCGTTATCCTTCATACGCAGCGGAAACTTCTGCATGTCTGTGGACGCAGAGACAAAGGAAAAGTGTCAGCAAAGGAAACTGGTGGCTTCAATCTGTACTACACTGTCCGAGTGTAGTACCCGCGTACTACACACAGACAGTGCGTGCAGCTCGTGAATATACAGCCACCAACTAACATGTGCCAACAGTTGTTTGCGCCGGCATGACAAACGCAAATCTTCGGGGGACTAGGGAAACTTAGTCCCCAAACCCTCCATCACAGTTTCCCACCCCAAGCTCATCTCAAAACTCAGAGAGCACATCTAACTCGTGGAAATTGGTAGATGCAGGACTAACAATTACCTTCGGAACCTTAAAAAAACAAACATTTTTTGCTCATAGCTTAGTACTCAATTTTACTTGCGCGCAATACAGGTGCCTAGAACAGCTTCGAATGGCCTCAGAGCTAAGGACGGTCCACCACCCATCCCAACTGACCTATGTAGTAGATACAGCCATTGGTGCCGCCCAGCAGCAGAAAGCTCCCGGCCCGGTCGAAGCTGGACACGCTGCCGATCTCCTGCGCCTGCCAGTGGTGGGTCATGGCGTGCCAGACGCCGATTCGGCCCGCCGAGGAGAGAGCCACCAGCTGCGGGCCGATGAAAAACAGGTGCTCCACCGGCACACCCAGACTGAACTGACCTGAAAGGGGAGAGAAGACATGGACGTGTAAGAATGACATGGCACGAGGATAGAGGAAGCATTAAACGGAAAGTAGATGGCAACGTGACAGCACAACGATATAATAATCAAATAAAAGTCGCCGAAACATGTGATAAGACCATCAGACAATCACCTAGACAATGAAGCATCAAGCCATGTCGGTTACCTACAACAAGGCCATGCCACTCGACATGTTATAGCTTGCAATATATCTTTTTTACTATACTGATCAATAATGCACGTTTGATTCATCCCCAGTCCATCCTATACTCCCAGTCCTTCCTCCACAGTCCGCACGTCTCTCCGCCACACCGCAAAATACCCCTCTAGTCTTCTGACAACCTTCCTTATCAAGTCCCCACGCACTTCCCACACACTAAACCGTCACTCACCGACGTCCGACTTGGAGCCGTCCTCCGATATGCGCCACAGGTGTACCGAGGCACCGCAGCTGATACCCAGCATCTTAGTGCTGGCGTCGGCCACCGAGCCAGTGGGCACCACCTTGGCGTTGATGGCCACGCGGTCGATAGCGCTGGTGATGTAGGGAGAGGTGTAGAACAGGTGCCAGCCTGTGGAGTCCTTCATGCTGTAGATAGGAGAAAGGGTATGGTGTGTGAGAGTGACAGAAATGCATCGAATGAGCGAGAGACGCAGCGGCGTCGTGGGTGGGCGCGCATGGAATGGCGATGTAGTCAATAAGTTACACAATACGCATGTCACGAGCCGCGGTAAAACTCTAAAAAAGCGCCGAAAAAAACGACGACATCTTCACATTCCAAACACCAATTACACACAAAACAATCGGCAAGCTGATGTTATCAGAATTATGGGCAATGGCGTTAGGCAGACCCCCTGCCGTTACATCTCCACTGTTGGCACCAAACACAGCACGCCCCCATTCCCTACGCCGATCCTCACCGGTAGCAGGACACGTGGTGCGCGTAGGCAGCCACCAGCCAGTTGTGGTGTCCCCTGATGATCCGCACACCGGCCGCCTCGTGCCACCCTGCCAGACCGGCCAGCCCTCCGCCCCCTCCCCCGCCGGGCGGGGCCAGCAGGCGGCTCAGATCAGCTGAGGAGCTGCGCGAGTGTGACGGGTGGCGCAGATCCAGCGAGCCGCCGCGCGAGTGGCCCGGCCGACCCATAGGTACTGGTGCTGGCCGCGCCGCCAGACCGGCCACGAACCTGTCGGAGGGAGCGAACAGGGGTGAGACGAGTAGGTAGACTGACAAAGGGAGCAAACTGTCAAACACAGCAGATAGAGCTGCCAGAGGGCACAAATAGGTAGAGCTGCCAGTGCCAATAAACATGATAATGATGATGATGATGATAATGATGATGATGATGATGATGATGATGATGATGATGATGATGATGATGATGATGATGATGATGATGATGATGATGATGATGATGATGATGATGATGATGATGATGATGATGATGATGATGATGATGATGATGATGATGATGATGATGATGATGATGATGACATACAGGGGACAGGGTGATGCCGGGAGGCGATAGAGGAGGTGAGAGAGGGTGGCGAAAAGAAGATATTTAGATTTTCTCGCATGTTCAATACGGGTACGCCGGAGATTTCGGTAGTTATTGGCTAGACTGGCTGCGGGGAACACATACAACGTACTTATGCACCTGAGGAGGAATTGCATCTACTCAGTGGTTGGTACTGGGTTGTGCGGGTCATAGAGATATGCTTGGTGACCTTCGTAGAAAATTATCAGTGTACTGGAAACCTCGTATATATTAACGACTCAATTCAGTTACATGGGCTGGCCAGTGATAAATACCACTGGTTCAGGGCGAACCAATAAACAATCGATCAATCGCCAAATAATCGATGGAATACCGTGAAACAGATTCAGTCAATGAAAACCCGGTTGTCCGGATTGTATCAATAAAGCACTTAAATAAAGCACAATTTTCGGTGATATTGACTTTGTACAATGGGGCAGAGTCATTGGGCCAGAGGTTACTGCATTGTGCGCAGCTCGGCCGCGTAAATAAATCGTAGCCTTGGGCAAACAGGTCGATGCCAACTACCACAGAAACCAACAACAGGACAGAACAGACATTCTTTTCCATAGCCTTACGTCAGATAGTCGATAAATATACGTCAAACAGACGTCAAATAGATAGATAGGTACGTCAAATAGATAAATCCGTCAAATAGACAGGAAGATGATCTACACTTTAATGGGATCCGGTGAAGTGTCAAATGCAGAAATATGACCCAGAGGTGATCGTAAGCAATGACAATATCATTCAGCTTATCCTACATCAGCAATCCAAGCCCCCCCCCCCCCCCCCCCCCCAACAGCTCATTTCGGTGTTGAGGCCTGAGGGCATGGACTAGTTAGGAACCACACAGTCTTGCTGGTCGACGTTCACAGCCAGTGAAAACAACTGACATGACCTGCTGGTCAGCAAATTTAATGTAGTACAGGCTTCAGTGCACGGAGGGGACGGAGGGGGCTGGGGGTAGGAGAACTAGTATCAGACCCGGGTCGACTGATATTCTAAGCAACGTCAGAAAACGTCATATAGTGCTGAAATGAGGCACGGCTGACCTCAGTAACGTCAACACAGCTCACAGAGCGCTGACTTGAGATCGGTTTGTCAAAGCAACATAGGCACCAAGCGTGGAGCACTAGCCTGGGGTACGGTACCTACAGACCTCAGTTAAGTTACTGGAGGTCAGGGAGCACTGAACTGACCTGATCTGACCGAGATCAGCACAGGTCACGGGACACTGACCTGACCTGACCGAGGTCAGCGCAGGTCACGGGACACTGACCTGAGGTCGGCAGACGACTGGCGGGAGTGCGAGCGGGGCGTCTCCGGCAGCCGGACGATGGACCCGGGCCGAGCGGCGGCGGCGGCAGCGGCGGCGGCCCCTTCAGCCAGCGCCGACTCCGCGAAATGGGGTGACGGCGGCGGGACTGCAGGGAGAAACGACATGACAGAGTTAGTTAGCACTAAACGGGACAGAACATGTTACTGGAACATTCGGACTGTTAACCTTATCAGCTATTACGAGACATACGCAAAGACGCATCAGCTGCTCCCCTCCCCTTCTGAACGGCCGTAGCTGGCCGATATGTAGCTCGTAAAGAAAACTATGGGAATGATAGAAATGATTCATCCAGTCCAACCATCACCCTCCACAACTATGTACCCACCGAATAACCGCACTGATCAATCTGACTGTTCATGGCCTAGCGTCAGCAGGTATGCAACACCCGATCCGTGTGCCCCCCCCCCCCCCCTCTGAATCATCCATCCAGTGACGCAGTGCAACATACCGGCCAACCCGCCTCCCCCTCCGTCCACAGACACGCGCACGACACCTCCACAGCCGTCCGTCCCCTTGCCTCGTCCTGTCAAGTGTCATCCCCATCCCCTTGTCATCCCCAAGCCAGGGGATGTAACCCCATCCCTGACCTTTGCGTCTACTGACCCGCCTGCTGGTATCCTTGTCAGACCGCCCTTACCAGCCCCTCAATCCATATCCTCTCCATCCCCTCACTTGTCCACAGTCCTCTCCATACCCTCCCCTTTTCTCCTGCCCCTCCATCCCCTCCGTGCACTGACCGGCCGGCTGCAGCAGTCCGTGGAACAGCACACTGCCACAGGTGGGCGCAGTCAGATCCTGACAGAGCGCCAGCCGGCCCACCAGCGGCTGCAGGCCGTAAAACTCGGCCTCGTGGCGCAGCGCGTCCAGGTCCACCGAACTGGGGGGGGGGGGGGCGAGAGGGTCGTTAGAGATGGAGAGAAGAGCGACAGATAGCGCAGGTCTAACAGGGTACTGATGATCGAAATGACAAGCCTTGAAGAAGTGCAAACACTACCCATCCAAGCAAAAACCAACAAGACATTGCTACAGTAAGTAAGCCCTAATGTAATACCAGTAAAACGCCTTTTGGGCGAAGAACGAGCGAGCGAGATAGTGAGCCCTGCACGTGCGGAAGGGCGAGAAGGTGCTTCCAACGGGCTTGCGCAAAGCACCCTTCTAACTGGTCGCTAGCGGTGTGCCAAATTTGAACGCAATCGGCCCAGCCGTTCCTGAGATCTGGAAGCGGCATTCTGCACGTGCGCACGTGCAAACGGGGTCCAAAATGACTTTTGCACGGCACCCTACTAACTGGTCCCCAACCGTGTACCAAATTTGAGCGCAATCGGCCCAGCCGTTCGCAAGATCTGGAAACGCCCCCTGCACGTGCGCACGTGCAGTAGCACCCTAACCGCAACACATGGGAATGCATTGCCTGGTGGGTGCCTACCTGTATGCCAAGTTTTAGCGAAATCGCCCCAGTAATTACCGAGTTACTGAAATGGGAACAAATTTGGCACCTCTTATTGTTGTGTTTTGCACGAGCACTGGGGGTGACCCACATGCATCGAGAGTATCCTATTTTGGGTAGAAGGGATGCTGCTACCCTACAAAAATTACCGCAAGTCAATCGCCCAAGCGGCTGCTGAGATATGAGCCTCTCAAAATCACTACTTTTGCAAAACAGCTTGAACACCCTTGACTTTTCACGTGGCACGTGCCACGACGGTCACTGAGACATATCAAAAGTAGTCAATTACGGGGTAGAAGGGATGGGGCTACCCAACAAAAAAGACCGCAGGCCAATCGGTCCAGCGGTTGCTGAGATATAAGCCTCTCAAAAGCGTTACAGGCCGGGCCGGGCCGGACCGGGCCGGGCCGGGCCGGGCCGCTCATACTGAGATTTTTCCGTTATATTGAAAAGACTCACTTCGCTCGCTGCGCTCGCTCGCTCGTAATAAGCCCACCGTATGGAAGCCCCCAGCCCAGCACAACAGACGTCAATCATCCACGCCTCATAGCACATCAGTGCCCGGTTACAAGTCAACATTGCCTGAGTAACCACCTACCACGGTGGTAGAATGACTGACCTGAGGTCAATGTCGCGGGTGCGCAGGTAGTTGAGGATGACGCCGAACAGCTTGGGGTCCCTGTCGATGAAGATGGCGCCCGTCTCGTCGCGCATGCTGGAGATCCTGCCGCTCAGCATGGCGGTGAAGAAGGTGTCCTGCACCCACGTCAGCGTCTGGCGCGAGGTGGAAAACCTGAACACGGAATGCGGGGAGGCGTTAGAGCATTCTAGTGTTTACTTAGTGTCTGAGTGGACTCTATGGTAGTTAATTTAACTCTTTGGCATAAAACAGCAGAAAAGGAAATCGCTAGAATTTCTTAATCCATTAATTATGAGATTTTTCAGCTAAGCATTGTATAAATAGTTATGCACTGATAAGAAATTACGATGTGCTCTGTGGCCAGACAGTTGTATCATCTTCAAGCTTCGTAATCGCGACGGTACCCGCGGAAAACGAGCGCTGTTATTTGGAATGCGTGTAGGAGCAATCCTAATGAGCCAGCTATGACTTTGTACGTGGCCAATACCAGAATGTCCGACCCGTAGTCTGGAACAGTACGGTGCTGGCAGTGAGTCGGTCTCGAACACCCGCGAGTTCGGACAGCCGCCGCACTATCTATCGTTCAGGTTCGGAAGAGTGGTCCCAGGGGCTCGGTCGCTGGCGTTCGTACTGGCTCTTCTATCCCATTAGGCAAGACATGCACTGGATTCAAATGTCTAAAAACTACTTGAAAGGATGCATACGATACGAGATTTGATACGATACAAATGATAAGATGCAAAATGAGAGATAAATGATGACAGATCGCTGCAGCGGTGCCCTGAGAAACGCGAAAGGCTATGTGTGTAGGTATCTTGATGTATATTGTTTGTTTGTTGGGGGTTAGGGGCGCGCCGACTGCGAGGTCATTTTGCGCCCTTGATGTATAATGTATATTGTGTACGACTCTACTCGATAGCTGAAATGAGATCTACGGACTCATCGATTGGAAGGTCATTTGCGTCGGTGGTTAAAACATTGAGGTATTTCACCACATAAGGACCCGCGCTGGGCAACTCATTCCTGCACTGACAGCTTCATCACCTAGTAACAGAGATTACGGAAAACCTGAAATATTCCGCAAACGACTGACTCGGCGTCTAAACGACGAGTGCGTCATTCTTTGTTCTGTCAGGACTTCCGGTAACCTTTCTCAGCTACTCACTGGAAGCCTAAAGTGCTAACGATCATACCTACTAAGCCTTGCTGTACCTATTTCATTGTCTAATGTCTAGTTAGCAGTATTGCTGGAGCCCATCTGTTATCACTCAGTTTTCAGTTACTTTTGCTGTGTTAGCTTTGAAATTCATGCTTTGTGTTGACATACTTGAGTACCTGACACAACTATGAACAAGGTTGGCGGGGGGGGGGGCCTCAGGAGCCCCCCCCCTGAGGTTTTTTGGTTATTACTCCCAAACGCTTTGAGCTAGGAAGCTCAAATTTTCTGACTTTTCCTAAAAGGCTTTTACGCAGCATTTCTGAAAATTTTGAGTTGATCTGACCTCAGGTCAGGTCACCAGAGGCGGTTTGGTGACCCTACCTCAGAAAAGTTTGCAATCACGCCAGAGCTAGAGTTTTTGACCGATCAATTTCTTCTCTTCAGGCTTAAGTTAGGGTACCAGTATGTGCAATTTGTACATCTCAGAATTTTCATATCTGTGACCTGAGGTCAGGCCAGACTCGTGACCTTTACATTGCAAACCTATGGGAAAATATTGAAACGCCTCCTGCTTCGTGTAAACGAGTCAAAACCACCCAATTCTTTCAGTATTATGGAAGATTATCTCATCGGTGATGATCCTGGTGCCGCTAATTGACAGGGGCACCGGCAAAGGTCATCTGAGGTCATGTGACGTCATAAATCGTTTTTCTGTCAATAAATCACGACATGATGGTGCTAAAGACTTGTAAGTGGTACCAAACTGCTCGCCTGGTCAAGGCGCTTCGTTTGGTATGCAGCATGACTATACCCCACAACCTCATTGATGAATGACCTGACCTTGACCTCAGGTCAAATTTCAAATTGACCTGTGAAGGTCATCACATACTTATTTCGCATCGCCTCGGCGAGAGCAACAAAAAATGTATTGGTTTTATGTCTGAATGTTTCTTAGTTTAAAAGTTATATAGGTAACAAATTTCAAAACATTTTATCGTTGATGACCTCTGGTGACCTCAATATTGACCTGACCTGAAAATGTTTTATGTAAAAGTTGTAGATCTTTAAACGACCTATCAAACGCCGTTCGCCGTTTGTCGCTGCGATGTGTAGTTTTTGAGATCTGAAGGGGGGCCGAATCGGCCCCCCCCCCCCCGCCAGTTTCTTGTCCCGGCGGAGCCCGCCAGGAATAGGGTTCTTGTTTGTTTATGCAGTTTCAAATTGACTCTTTTATAGACAATCCACTGCTATTTATTTTAACAATTATTCGATTATCTGATAATAATAGCCACCACTTGATTTTACAGTTGACACATGGATTTTTATAGTTCCCAGGCAAGGCTGGGACAGCATTCTATGTCTATGTATATGTCAAACAGTCCCAGCTTGTTGGATTGGAGCACATTAGAATCTTGTTTGGAAGCACTATTTTGAAGGATTAGGTGACTTCACAATAGACAATAATTTATTATAATTCAAGAGCAGCCAGTTAGGCAGCTCAATATATTGTGGCCCTACACTTTGTTGTGTGTGCAGAGTTAGCTAACAACTAGGGTGACCCGCGTGCTCCGCAACGCGAAAAGGGATATTTTCGATCGGCGGGTGTTCGGTTGTTCTTGTGTCGGTTGGGTTATCTATCCATTTCGGTCGATTGCTTTTTGACGGCTAAACGTTTTGGTTTGTGGAAAAAATATCCACCGCATCGAGGTGCCCGTGTCTGATAAGCATGCTTTCCACTTCATCATCATCATCATCATCATCAATTGTATTACGTCTAGAGACAAGACAAGCATGGGCATAACAAACATACACAATGCACACAAGACATACGCCAGAAAACATATGCACAATCATACCTACACCAAAACATAGGCATACCAAAAACAACATAACACTATCATATGGGTGGCGCTAATATCATTTGTATTAGTGCCCATGCCTCCCCAGTGTTCTGAGCCAGGAGCCAACTGAGCGAGTCGGTGACTCCACAGGGGGGTCTTGGGGTGTACATAATCTCAGGTGGGATATGACCTCCAGCAACCTGTAGAAGCACACTCATATTGGCCCCACATACGATGAACATAAATCTAACGATAGGCGCGCAGTGTCCCGATGAGGCATCCCCAAGAACAAGAGTGGCCAGGCTGGCAACCAGAATTTGGCGTAGGCGGTGATTTTCGCGGAACGCATCACGGAAGCACGCGATGATGGAGCGACGTAGAGTCTCCTGCACCTTCGGTATGTGCAGAGCAGCGAGCAAAGCTGTGTGGTGGGCTCTGGATGGCAAACGTAAGGCAGCTTTGACTGTTGCTGCTTGCCAGGACTCGAGACGAGAGATGTCGGCGGGTCCCAGAGGGCACAGAGCACAACCAAATAACAGGGTCGGGGATACTATGGCTCGCCAAAGGAAAGCTTTGTCAGGGCCAGGGAGCTGCGAGCTGAACAAACCCGCTCGGGAGAGACCGAAATAGGCGCCTCGTCCACGGGACACGCGTGCATCTACGTGCACTCGGCCCTGAAGGTTCGGGTGCAGCTGAACACCAAGGTGCTCAGTGTATTCCTTACACGTGAGCAAATGGTTGCATAAGTGCCACTCAGGTCGCTGGGCTAAAAGACCAGCACCGAAAATGAAACAGTGACTTTTGGTTGCGCTCGGAACCGGGTTAACAAATTCGAGCCTCCAGCTAACTGAGAATTCTGAGACAGAATCCAATAGCTTTTGCAAGTCAAGTGCGTTCCCCGACATGACTAGGAGGTCATCAGCGTAAGCCACTACTGGGACATGCTTACCACAGACCATTGCACCAAGGCCGGTAGCGTCCAGTTGCTGTATCAGCGGCCTTAAGAAAATATTGGCCAAGCATGGTGACAGAAGCGCACCTTGCCTCACCCCTCGTCGTACGGAAAACGCATCCGATATAGAACCTCCGAACCGAACTCGTGCTGAGAGGTCGCTATACCAGAAGGCTAAAACCAGCCAGCTTCGGCGAGATAAGTAGTCTTTAGCCCGAAGTAGGATGCCAGCGTGCCATATTCGGTCAAAGCACTTACGAGCGTCGAGATTAGCGACAAACAGCGGGGATTCGTGCAACAAATAGTGGCCAGCCGCTTCCTGGACGAGTAGCGTTGCCTCTCTGGTGCCCCGGCGCTGAAGGAATCCAAACTGTAGGTCTGAAGGTCGGAAAGAAAGTTGGATTTCTCGAAGAAGCAGTAATTCGAGCAGCTTTGATACCGTGGACACCAAAGAAATTGGTCGGTAGCTATCCGGACAGTTTGGGTCCAAGCTGCTTTTTTTAATAAGTGGGACCTTCAGTGGGACTTCAGAATCTGTCAAATGTGCTTTATAATTGAGGTGCGTAGTTTTAAGACAAATGAAAGGCGTAGATAATTTTCGCTAAAAATCGTTTTGCAGAGGTTTAAAACATTTATATTTTTAAGAATACTGTTGCTTGTCATGCAAACGTGATGATTGGATCTTGGAGAGAATTGAATGCTCTTTCTAATGATAGCTTTTTCAATTGTCAAGCGTATCAGGTTAAGCAGCAAATCCCGTGTATCTTTTTAGTGGCACATTATGGACAAATACCATTTTAATTCAGCGATTTTTTCCACATTGTTTTTGATCAATTAGCTGTCCACAATTTTTCCATGAGAGGCGGTACATTTCTCTTGGCAATTGACGTTGTTTCAACTCTCTCAGTCTGATGGTCACGGGAAAATAAAATAAAATCCAAAATGCGTTTAAAATGGCACTTTTTGAAATGAAATTGCCCTCACACTTGCACGTGGCGCGTGCCACCCCTGCACCGCACACTATTCGATTGCCCGTTCGATTCTCTACACGATGCTGTTTTCCCCGTGCCGATCGGGCGCACGGCTACCGAGATATTGCACGGGGAACGGACCCGTGTCGGGCAAATTTAGCCATTTTCGCCCGTTTTTGCCAGCCGATTTATACATGTAAAGTCTATGACGCGAATTTGCACTTTTTGGGCACGCGCCACGCGCTCGCTATCGATCCGATCGAGCCGAGACCGCTCAAAGGCACGTTGTCCATCCTTGTTCTATAACTTGCGCAAATTTCAGCGCGGTAGGTGCAACGGTGTGATCTGTAACCCGCGCTACGTAGCACCATGTCGCGACCTTCGTAATAGACAGAAACTACGCCCTCCTCAAATAGTAATATAGATTGACAACAACTAGCAAGGGCATAACTGAAAAGACATGGTCAGATGGTCACATTTACAAATGCATTGCACTAGATCAATCAGATAACATTCTGAAAATTTTCACCTTTTTTGGGTATAGTAACATTAAAATTGCTAGTTACCATATCTATTGTGTTTAGGATTTAGGAAACTGGTCATTTGCCATGCTTTCTAATTCAAATTTGAGTTACACTTACCTTGTCCCACCAACATTCAAATTGATGATCTCTGAAGAAGCTGCCATTGCTGATGAGGTCTGCAAGAAAAAAAATATTGTTTTTGCAAAGAGCAAATTACAAATACAAAATTATCAAAAACCAATGATGTTAGATAAAACACAATAGTAACAATTATCAAAGCTGAGATACAAGAGGGTCATTGTTGATTCTAGTCAAGCTCATGAAGTAGATGAGGTACTGACAATTCAAGGGGGAAATTAGAATAAATGCCCCTCCTAAGTCCTAACACATACAATTTCATCCATTCTTGCCTCAAAAAAGAAAATTTAGTTGAACAGCTATTTTGGGCAAAATTGGCTTTATAATAAACATTGCACAGAGGTCAAGGTCAGGGTGCATATGAAAGCACAATAAGATAATTTTTTGCAAATGGGGCAAACTTTTTGGAAGCTCTGTGTGATAATATTGATGATAGTAATTAGGCAAAACCTAATGGTTTATAAGTTAATATAGTATTGGCATGTCCCTGCATGCCACCTTTTGCACATTTTTATTCATAATGCATGGAGGAAAACTTGAATCCAAGGGCTGTTCATGAGCACCGTAAACTTCTGAGTGTGGTGTGTGCAGCAGGCTAGGGGTAGGGGATGGGTAGGTGGCATGACATCACATGGCTCCTTGTGGTGGCCGGTGTCTGTGCTGCTGCAGCCGCACAGCAGCCGCTGTCAGCTGTGTCAAAGTGCGGTGACAGAATGACATCAACATAAGGAGGCTGTGGGTGGAGCTTAGAGCCTGTGTGCGGTCCTACCCCACACAGGGCCCATGAACAGTCCTTAGCAAAATCTGAAAAATTGAAATTGAGTTGTTTCTTTGATGGGTAAGTAGGAAAATAGGTTGGTTCCTATGTAATATCTATGACACAATTCTGATCTTAAAACTTTAAGACTTAAAAGCATGTCTTACAGTTAACTAGTGACTTACCTAGCACTCAAAAGCCTCAAGCAGTTAGTTTTGATGCTAATAGGTTCAGGTTATGTGAATGTTATAAACCAATTTAATCTGGTTTTCAATAAATACCAATGGGCATTGGGCAATGACAGCAACAATGCATGAGGCCTTTCCAAATTTGGCCAGCAAGCACCTCAGTCTTTGTGGATTTTAATTGGTCAGAATCAGCCAGAATCGGGCAGAATATAAAATATGCATTGAAACGAAATTGAAATTGAAACAACAACAATTGCAATGGGCATCACCACGGGCATTACATGAAAAACTCCCCAGTGATTTTTGCGTTTTTTGCCTTTGCAAGTTTTTCTCTATATTTATCTATGATATGGTAGCATCAGTAAAACTTCGCTATAACACTGCTTTTTAAAAGTAGTTTTATAGAATGATATTGAAAATTATACAACACATTTGAAAACGAATATGCACATTTTAAACCTAAATTTGACATATGTAGCTTTTTATAATGTAACGGAAGTTAGCCCACATTCAGCCCACATTCGGCCCAGCCCAGATTGGGGCTGCCAAATCTAGGGAAAAATCTAGAAATCTAGGGAAAAATCTAAACACCGTTTTACGCCTAAACGGCTGGACGAAACTGAAAAATAAGACCACCATTTGAAAGATCTCTTCACCCCGGACCTAATGATATGGTTAAATACCGGATCAATTTAACCAAAAGCATGATTTAACCAGGATGAAAATTTTCGGTCAATGGGGCGGCCCCTACGATTTTCCTCAAAATCGGCATGGTGATACTACAGGCCGAGATGATCAATCTGGCTGAAGAAACCCCTATGGGCATTGAAATCTATGGGGTAAAAACGCCCTTGGAAAGTTTTACCCACGCATTTCTGGCAAGTGTATCGCACGCATCCCCCAATATGGGTATCATATGAAAGCCCATGAAAACCCAAACAAAATGGTGGGGTAAAATTTACCCATTACCCCATCCAGGGTAAATTTTACCCAAGATGAAAATTTCCGGTCAATGGGGCGGCCCTACGATTTTCTTCGAAATCGGCATGGTGATACTACAGGCCGAGATGATCAATCTGGCTGAAGAAACCCCTATGGGCATTGAAATCTATGGGGTAAAAACGCCCTTGGAAAGTTTTACCCACGCATTTCTGGCAAGTGTATCGCACGCATCCCCCCAATATGGGTATCATATGAAAGGCCATGAAAACCCAAACAAAATGGTGGGGTAGAATTTACCCACTACCCCATCCAGGGTAAAGTTTACCCAAGATGAAAATTTTCGGTCAATGGGGCGGCCCCTACGATTTTCTTCAAAATCGGCATGGTGATACTACAGGCCGAGATGATCAATCTGGCTGAAGAAACCCCTATGGGCATTGAAATCTATGGGGTAAAAACGCCCTTCGAAAGTTTTACCCACGCATTTCTGGCAAGTGTATCGCACGCATCCCCCCAATATGGGTATCATATGAAAGCCCATGAAAACCCAAACAAAATGGTGGGATAAAATTTACCCACTACCCCATCCAGGGTAAAGTTTACCCAAGATGAAAATTTTCGGTCAATGGGGCGGCCCCTACGATTTTCTTCAAAATCGGCATGGTGATACTACAGGCCGAGATGATCAATCTGGCTGAAGAAACCCCTATGGGCATTGAAATCTATGGGGTAAAAACGCCCTTGGAAAGTTTTACCCACGCATTTCTGGCAAGACTATCGCACGCATCCCCCCAATATGGGTATCATATGAAAGCCCATGAAAACCCAAACAAAATGGTGGGGTAAAATTTACCCATTACCCCATCCAGGGTGAAGTTTACCCAAGATGAAAATTTTCGGTCAAAAAATTTCCATATGATACCCATATTGGGGGGATGCGTGCGATGGTCTTGCCAGAAATGCGTGGTTAAAACTTTTCAAGGGCGTTTTTACCCCATAGATTTCAATGCCCATAGGGGTTTCTTCAGCCAGATTAGTCATCTGGGCCTGTAGTATCACCATGCCGATTTTGAAGACAATCGTAGGGGCCGCCCCATTGACCGAAAATTTTCATCTTGGGTAAACTTTACCCTGGATGGGGTAATGGGTAAACTTTATCCCACCATTTTGTTTGGGTTTTCATGGGCTTTCATATGATACCCATATTGGGGGATGCGTGCGATAGTCTTGCCAGAAATGCGTGGGTAAAACTTTCCAAGGGCGTTTTTACCCCATAGATTTCAATGCCCATAGGGGTTTCTTCAGCCAGATTGGTCATCTGGGCCTGTAGTATCACCATGCCGATTTTGAAGAAAATCGTAGGGGCCGCCCCATTGACTGAAAATTTTCATCTTGGGTAAACTTTACCCTGGATGGGGTAATGGGTAATCTTTATCCCACCATTTTGTTTGGGTTTTCATGGGCTTTCATATGATACCCATATTGGGGGGATGCGTGCGATACACTTGCCAGAAATGCGTGGGTAAAACTTTCCAAGGGCGTTTTTACCCCATAGATTTCAATGCCCATAGGGGTTTCTTCAGCCAGATTGGTCATCTGGGCCTGTAGTATCACCATGCCGATTTTGAAGAAAATCGTAGGGGCCGCCCCATTGACTGAAAATTTTCATCTTGGGTAAACTTTACCCTTGATGGGGTAATGGGTAAATTTTACCCCACCATTTTGTTTGGGTTTTTATGGGCTTTCATATGATACCCATATTGGGGGATGCGTGCGATAGTCTTGCCAGAAATGCGTGGGTAAAACTCTCCAAGGGCGTTTTTACCCCATAGATTTCAATGCCCATAGGGGTTTCTTCAGCCAGATTGGTCATCTGGGCCTGTAGTATCACCATGCCGATTTTGAAGAAAATCGTAGGGGCCGCCCCATTGACCGAAAATTTTCATCTTGGGTAAACTTTACCCTGTATGGGGTAATTGGTAAATTTTACCCCACCATTTTGTTTGGATTTTCATGGGCTTTCATATGATACCCATATTGGGGGGATGCGTGCGATAGTCTTCCCAGAAATGCGTGGGTAAAACTTTCCAAGGGCGTTTTTACCCCATAGATCTCAATGCCCATAGGGGTTTCTTCAGCCAGATTAGTCATCTGGCCCTGTTGTATCACCATGCCGATTTTGAAGAAAATCGTAGGGGCCGCCCCATTGACCGAAAATTTTCATCTTGGGTAAACTTTACCCTGGATGGGGTAATGGGTAAATTTTACCCCACAATTTTGTTTGGGTTTTCATGGGCTTTCATATGATACCCATATTGGGGGGATGCGTGCGATAGTCTTGCCAGAAATGCGTGGGTAAAACTTTCCAAGGGCGTTTTTACCCCATAGATTTCAATGCCCATAGGGGTTTCTTCAGCCAGATTGGTCATCTGGGCCTGTAGTATCACCATGCCGATTTTGAAGAAAATCGTAGGGGCCGCCCCATTGACCGAAAATTTTCATCTTGGGTAAACTTTACCCTGGATGGGGTAATGGGTAAATTTTACCCCACCATTTTGTTTGGGTTTTCATGGGCTTTCATATGATACCCATATTGGGAGGATGCGTGCGATAGTCTTGCCAGAAATGTGTGGGTAAAACTTTCCAAGGGCGTTTTTACCCCATAGATTTCAATGCCCATAGGGGTTTCTTCAGCCAGATTAGTCATCTGGGCCTGTAGTATCACCATGCCGATTTTGAAGAAAATCGTAGGGGCCGCCCCATTGACCGAAAATTTTCATCTTGGGTAAACTTTACCCTGGATGGGGTAATGGGTAAATTTTACCCCACCATTTTGTTTGGGTTTTCATGGGCTTTCATATGATACCCATATTGGGGGGATGCGTGCGATAGTCTTGCCAGAAATGCGTGGGTAAAACTCTCCAAGGGCGTTTTTACCCCATAGATTTCAATGCCCATAGGGGTTTCTTCAGCCAGATTAGTCATCTGGGCCTGTAGTATCACCATGCCGATTTTAAAGAAAATCGTAGGGGCCGCCCCATTGACCGAAAATTTTCATCCTGGTTAAATCATGCTTTTGGTTAAATTGATCGGGTATTTAACCATATCATTAGGTCCGGGGTGAAGAGATCTTTCAAATGGTGGTCTTATTTTTCAGTTTTCTCCAGCCGTTTAGGCGTAAAACGGTTTTTAGATTTTTCCCTAGATTTCTAGATTTTTCCCTAGATTTGGCAGCCCCAATCTGGGCTGGGCTGAATGTGGGCTGAATGTGGGCTAACTTCCGTTACATCTTTTTATACTTAATTTTAATGTCTTAAAAATCTTTATTGATCAAGCTAGCATCTGAAAGGCCAAAAAACAGGTTTTCTGTCATAGCCAAAGATTTGCAGTTATTTAAGGGCAGCTTTTTGTAGCAGCTGCGTGAGAAACGTCTACACTTTTCCCCCCTCCTTTTTTACTTTATCAAGCTTCAACATTAGGGGCTTGAGAGAGGAAAGTGTCCAAAGTGTCTTATTTTGCTTGAATTGCCAAAGATCAAGATTGTTTGGGATATATGGGTTTGCACTGTATTATTTAATATAGCAAAATAAGCCCTATTGATCAGTTATTTGCTTCCAAGTTTCTGTAAACGATTAACGAAATCCGAATTATACTGCATATACATACCTACGGTAAATCAAAATACGAACTAGCAGTTTCAGGATAACACATTTTTTGTCATTATTTCCTAGCTGAATTTTATAAGTTTATCAACAAGTCTTTTGATGCAAGTGCATTGTACGCTTTCTATGTTACGATGTCTGGCTCTAAACTATACCTTTTATAATAATTTTGTTATTTTGTGTAGTGATTTCATTTTATTGCATCTACTAGTCATTGTAATATCAAAAGCTTATTTTGACTGCAAAAAGTAGTTCGCCACTCGGACCTAATATATACTAGTACCAAAATTTATTATTGTCTTAGCCATCAATCTGCTTTCTTCTGTCGTATTTGTATTTGAATTTTGTAGATACCATTTTTATTCTGGCATGTTCATGTTGGTTTCTATCATCAATTGCCAATGAAAATTAAGCTATCTGTGTCAATGTTGAAGGTAAAATTGTCGCGCTTGATAAGATAACCTATTTGCAGCTTGCATTGTATTTGATAAGTTTGGTTATGTTCACTTTTACTATAGCGAAATCAAACATTTAGGCACATGATTTGAGTGGTCATTAATCCTTTCATAGTTCTGTCTAGCAGGTCATTCATGCCAATGATTATGCAGCTACTGGAGGACTGCTTCACCTAGATGCTCAGTTTTCAGGCCATTGTGAGAGCCCACCTGCTCCTGACTGACAGCTGTGAATGCTA